CACGAGCGGATGATCCTCTAGTGAGGGAAGCGTTAGGGGTGTTCATAACAATGTCGCTCATCTTGAGGGTGTTTAAAGTGTTAAGAGTAGGATCTGAGTGGAAGTAATATAAGACTTCTGGTGTCAGACTCTTGAGGTTGGTTTTCGCGGATGAAGCAATAGGGTGGTATGAACAGTATTCGTCTGCAAGTAACTATTGTATTGTAGGTACTTGTACTCGTAACTTAAGTTGAACACAATGAGCTATAAGGGCTACATTGCCTATGCTATATACCTATGGTGCTCGTAGCCCTCGGTCAGAGGAGTCCGAGTATCGCTCGGTGGCTGGCGCACGAGGGGCTTTCCTCTGTGGCTTATGTACGAGGAGTCTGCCAAGACCCTTCCTCGCGCATAGAGGTCCGAGGAGGTCACGTGATCCTCCCTTACTCTACAAAGGGCGGGGTTGACTGGCTGTCGTCGTTCCTTTTAACTTAACCGCTGTGCCTTCCTCCCTCAGGTTCGTAACAGCCGCCTGCGAGGACCCAGTGGCTATCCAGCGCTGGTTCGACTTAGTCCAGGCGACTGTAAGGGGCTGCGCTCCGGGGAGCAATCGCGAGGTATACAAGAGGTTGTATTCGATAGAGAGCTATAGAGTCTACTTGCGTGGTGTTTATTTACTTGTCGGAGAAAGGTTGCACTAAGTGTCTAAGCGCGTCGTCTGGGCGCCGCTCAGGCCTCGCACAGATGCCGGGTTGCAGAGTAAGACCTGGCGTCTGCTGCTTGACCAAGATTCCATCGAGGAGCTATCTAAAGGGCGTTCAGCCCGTTACAATACCCCCCTCCTTAGGGTGGTACTGCGTCGCCTCTTCGAAACCCCTCTAGGAGGCGGCCCTCGCTGTCTCGCGCAGCCTCCGTGAATGCTTCCCATCGGTCCACTGCCTCAACGTCCTCTAGTAGTTCTGCTGGTTCGAGCGTCGTTCGGTGGAAACCTTTCCACTTCACCTCGTAGTATAGCTTATGCCCTCTCCCACGACGGCGTACCTCCTCTGCTACAATTTTCTTCTACTTCCCATTCATCTTCTCCATCTACCTGCAGCGGCTGTGGCTGATAGTCGTCCTGAACCTGGTTTGGGAGCGGATCGTTGCTAGCAAGTTTTAACCCATCGACATAGAAACAGGGTGTGGGCCTGGGGGCGTGTCTAGTTGGACTGAGTGGCTATCGATTACCTTAACCACTGTGTACTTAGCGTTCTTCCAGTCGAGCTTCTTAGAGTCTTCGCCCTGTGCTGTACTGCT